GACCAGAGTTCACGTGCTGATGGTTTATAAAGACGTTGATTCATGAAGATGACCAGAGTTCACGCGATGATGGTTTATAAAGACGATGATTCATGAAGATGATCAGAGTTCACACGGTGATGGTTTATAAAGACGATGATTCATGAAGATGACCAGAGTTCACGTGATGATGGTTTATAAAGACGATGATTCGTGAAGATGACCAGAGTTCACACGGTGATGGTTTATAAAGACGATGATTCATGAAGATGACCAGAGTTCACGTGATGATGGTTTATAAAGACGTTGATTCATGAAGATGTCCAGAGTTCACGTGGTGATGGTTTATAAAGACGATGATTCATGAAGATGTCCAGAGTTCACGTGGTGATGGTTTATAAAGACGATGATTCGTGAAGTTGACCAGAGTTCACGTGCTGATGGTTTATAAAGACGTTGATTCATGAAGATGACCAGAGTTCACACGGTGATGGTTTCTAAAGACGATGATTCATGAAGATGACCAGAGTTCACGCGATGATGGTTTATAAAGACGATGATTCATGAAGTTGACCAGAGTTCACGTGCTGATGGTTTATAAAGACGATGATTCATGAAGATGTCCAGAGTTCACGCGGTGATGGTTTATAAAGACGATGATTCATGAAGATGACCAGAGTTCACGTGCTGATGGTTTATAAAGACGATGATTCATGAAGATGACCAGAGTTCACGTGCTGATGGTTTATAAAGACGTTGATTCATGAAGATGAGCAGAGTTCACGCGATGATGGTTTATAAAGACGTTGATTCATGAAGATGACCAGAGTTCACGCGATAATGGTTTATAAAGACGATGATTCATGAAGATGATCAGAGTTCACGTGCTGATGGTTTATAAAGACGATGATTCATGAAGATGACCAGAGTTCACGTGCTGATGGTTTATAAAGACGTTGATTCATGAAGATGATCAGAGTTCACGTGATGATGGTTTATAAAGACGATGATTCATGAAGATGACCAGAGTTCACGTGCTGATGGTTTATAAAGACGATGATTCATGAAGATGACCAGAGTTCACGTGCTGATGGTTTATAAAGACGATGATTCATGAAGATGACCAGAGTTCACGTGCTGATGGTTTATAAAGACGTTGATTCATGAAGATGACCAGAGTTCACGTGCTGATGGTTTATAAAGACGTTGATTCATGAAGATGACCAGAGTTCACGTGATGATGGTTTATAAAGACGATGATTCATGAAGATGATCAGAGTTCACGTGGTGATGGTTTATAAAGACGTTGATTCATGAAGATGACCAGAGTTCACATGCTGATGGTTTATAAAGACGTTGATTCATGAAGATGACCAGAGTTCACGTGCTGATGGTTTATAAAGACGATGATTCATGAAGATGACCAGAGTTCACATGCTGATGGTTTATAAAGACGATGATTCGTGAAGATGATCAGAGTTCACGTGGTGATGGTTTATAAAGACGATGATTCATGAAGATGACCAGAGTTCACACAGTGATGGTTTATAAAGACGATGATTCATGAAGATGACCAGAGTTCACGCGCTGATGGTTTATAAAGACGATGATTCATGAAGATGATCAGAGTTCACGTGCTGATGGTTTATAAAGACGATGATTCGTGAAGATGATCAGAGTTCACGTGCTAATGGTTTATAAAGACGATGATTCATGAAGATGACCAGAGTTCACGTGGTGATGGTTTATAAAGACGATGATTCGTGAAGATGACCAGAGTTCACGTGCTGATGGTTTATAAAGACGATGATTCATGAAGATGACCAGAGTTCACACGGTGATGGTTTATAAAGACGATGATTCATGAAGATGACCAGAGTTCACGTGCTGATGGTTTATAAAGACGATGATTCATGAAGTTGACCAGAGTTCACACGGTGATGGTTTATAAAGACGATGATTCATGAAGATGACCAGAGTTCACGTGCTGATGGTTTATAAAGACGTTGATTCATGAAGATGACCAGAGTTCACGCGATGATGGTTTATAAAGACGATGATTCATGAAGATGATCAGAGTTCACACGGTGATGGTTTATAAAGACGATGATTCATGAAGATGACCAGAGTTCACGTGATGATGGTTTATAAAGACGATGATTCGTGAAGATGACCAGAGTTCACACGGTGATGGTTTATAAAGACGATGATTCATGAAGATGACCAGAGTTCACGTGATGATGGTTTATAAAGACGTTGATTCATGAAGATGTCCAGAGTTCACGTGGTGATGGTTTATAAAGACGATGATTCATGAAGATGTCCAGAGTTCACGTGGTGATGGTTTATAAAGACGATGATTCGTGAAGTTGACCAGAGTTCACGTGCTGATGGTTTATAAAGACGTTGATTCATGAAGATGACCAGAGTTCACACGGTGATGGTTTCTAAAGACGATGATTCATGAAGATGACCAGAGTTCACGCGATGATGGTTTATAAAGACGATGATTCATGAAGTTGACCAGAGTTCACGTGCTGATGGTTTATAAAGACGATGATTCATGAAGATGTCCAGAGTTCACGCGGTGATGGTTTATAAAGACGATGATTCATGAAGATGACCAGAGTTCACGTGCTGATGGTTTATAAAGACGATGATTCATGAAGATGACCAGAGTTCACGTGCTGATGGTTTATAAAGACGTTGATTCATGAAGATGAGCAGAGTTCACGCGATGATGGTTTATAAAGACGTTGATTCATGAAGATGACCAGAGTTCACGCGATAATGGTTTATAAAGACGATGATTCATGAAGATGATCAGAGTTCACGTGCTGATGGTTTATAAAGACGATGATTCATGAAGATGACCAGAGTTCACGTGCTGATGGTTTATAAAGACGTTGATTCATGAAGATGATCAGAGTTCACGTGATGATGGTTTATAAAGACGATGATTCATGAAGATGACCAGAGTTCACGCGATGATGGTTTATAAAGACGATGATTCATGAAGACGACCATAGTTCACGTGCTGATGGCTTATAAAGACGTTGATTCATGAAGATGATCAGAGTGCACGTGATGATGGTTTATAAAGACGATGATTCATGAAGATGACCAGAGTTCACGCGATGATGGTTTATAAAGACGATGATTCATGAAGTTGACCAGAGTTCACGCGATGATGGTTTACAAAGACGATGATTCATGAAGATGACCAGAGTTCACGTGCTGATGGTTTATGAAGACGATGATTCATGAAGATGTCCAGAGTTCACGTGCTGATGGTTTATAAAGACGATGATTCATGAAGATGACCAGAGTTCACGCGATGATGGTTTACAAAGACGATGATTCATGAAGATGACCAGAGTTCACGCGATGATGGTTTATAAAGACGATGATTCATGAAGTTGACCAGAGTTCACACGGTGATGGTTTATAAAGACGTTGATTCATGAAGTTGACCAGAGTTCACGCGATGATGGTTTACAAAGACGATGATTCATGAAGTTGACCAGAGTTCACACGGTGATGGTTTATAAAGACGTTGATTCATGAAGTTGACCAGAGTTCACGCGATGATGGTTTATAAAGACGATGATTCATGAAGATGACCAGAGTTCACGTGCTGATGGTTTATAAAGACGATGATTCATGAAGATGACCAGAGTTCACTCGGTGATGGTTTATAAAGACGATGATTCGTGAAGTTGACCAGAGTTCACGTGCTGATGGTTTATAAAGACGTTGATTCATGAAGATGACCAGAGTTCACACGATAATGGTTTATAAAGACGATGATTCATGAAGACGACCAGAGTTCACGTGCTGATGGTTTATAAAGACGATGATTCATGAAGATGATCAGAGTTCACGTGATGATCGTTTATAAAGACGTTGATTCATGAAGATGACCAGAGTTCACGTGCTGATGGTTTATAAAGACGTTGATTCATGAAGACGACCAGAGTTCACGCGATGATGGTTTACAAAGACGATGATTCATGAAGATGACCAGAGTTCACGTGCTGATGGTTTATAAAGACGATGATTCATGAAGATGATCAGAGTTGACGTGCTGATGGTTTATAAAGATGATGATTCATGAAGATGACCAGAGTTCACGCGATGATGGTTTATAAAGACGATGATTCATGAAGATGACCAGAGTTCACACGGTGATGGTTTATAAAGACGATGATTCATGAAGATGTCCAGAGTTCACGTGGTGATGGTTTATAAAGACGATGATTCACGAAGTTGACCAGAGTTCACGTGCTGATGGTTTATAAAGACGTTGATTCATGATGTTGACCAGAGTTCACACGATGGTTTATAAAGACGTTGATTCATGAAGATGACCAGAGTTCACGTGCTGATGGTTTATAAAGACGATGATTCATGAAGATGATCAGAGTTCACGCGATGATGGTTTACAAAGACGTTGATTCATGAAGATGATCAGAGTTCACGCGATGATGGTTTATAAAGACGATGATTCATGAAGATGACCAGAGTTCACGCGATGATGGTTTACAAAGACGATGATTCATGAAGATGATCAGAGTTCACGCGATGATGGTTTATAAAGACGATGATTCATGAAGATGACCAGAGTTCACGCGATGATGGTTTACAAAGACGTTGATTCATGAAGATGATCAGAGTTCACGCGATGATGGTTTATAAAGACGATGATTCATGAAGATGACCAGAGTTCACGCGATGATGGTTTACAAAGACGATGATTCATGAAGATGATCAGAGTTCACGCGATGATGGTTTATAAAGACGATGATTCATGAAGATGACCAGAGTTCACGCGATGATGGTTTACAAAGACGATGATTTACGCTCCCTTGACGCGACCAGCGAGCTCCCGCGATTCATCCGTGGCGCTCGCACTGCCGGTATCGTTCGTCCCGCCTTCAGCCACCTCGCCTCACCGCGTGTTCCTCACCCCCCCGTGTTCCTCACCACCCCCCCCCCCCACCCCCTCACCTGGTGAGCAGGCGAGGCAGCTCCCGGCATGCCGAGCGAGCCGGCGGAAGGACTCCACGGCAGGGGTGGCGGCTCGCTGCGGACGGGCGACCCGTGCCTGGCACTCTACTGGGAGGACAACAAGGTTGGTACCGCCGGCCGGGGGGGGGTGGGGGCCGGGTTGACAATCCTCCGGCTCGCTCCAAGTAGGGCAGAGTGAGCGGGGCCCGACCGCTTGCGTGGCGCGCAAGTACGGTGAACTTGCCACGAAGCGTACGCAGGCGACCGTGCTAATTGGAGGTGCGGGGGAAGGGCAGCAAACTGGGTCTCTGTGTGAGTCTATGGGTCTCTGTGGGTCTCTACGTGAGTCTATGGGTCTCTGTGTGAGTCTATGGGTCTCTGTGTGAGTCTATGGGTCTCTGTGTGTCTGTGGGTCTCTGTGTGAGTCTGTGGGTCTCTGTGTGAGTCTGTGGGTGTCTGTGTGAGTCTGTGGGTCTCTGTGTGAGTCTATGGCTCTCTGTGTGAGTCTGTGGGTCTCTGTGTGAGTCTGTGGGTCTCTGCGTGAGTCTGTGTGTCTCTGTGTGAGTCTCTGGGTCTCTGTGTGAGTCTATGGGTCTCTGTGTGAGTCTGTGGGTGTCTGTGTGAGTCTATGGGTCTCTGTGTGAGTCTGTGGGTGTCTGTGTGAGTCTGTGGGTCTCTGTGTGAGTCTATGGCTCTCTGTGTGAGTCTATGCGTCTCTGTGTGAGTCTATGGGTCTCTGTGTGAGTCTATGGGTCTCTGTGTGAGTCTATGGGTCTCTGTGTGAGTCTATGGGTCTCTGTGTGAGTCTATGTGTCTCTGTGTGAGTCTATGGGGCTCTGTGTGAGTCTATGGGTCTCTGTGTGAGTCTATGTGTCTCTGTGTGAGTCTATGGGTCTCTGTGCGAGTCTATGGGTCTCTGTGTGAGTCTATGGGTCTCTGTGTGAGTCTATGTGTCTCTGTGTGAGTCTATGGGTCTCTGCGTGAGTCTGTGGGTCTCTGTGTGAGTCTGTTTGTCTCTGTGTGAGTCTATGGGTCTCTGTGCGAGTCTATGGGTCTCTGTGTGAGTCTATGGGTCTCTGCGTGAGTCTGTGGGTCTCTGTGTGAGTCTGTGGGTCTCTGTGTGAGTCTATGGCTCTCTGTGTGAGTCTGTGGGTCTCTGTGTGAGTCTGTGGGTCTCTGCGTGAGTCTGTGTGTCTCTGTGTGAGTCTCTGGGTCTCTGTGTGAGTCTATGGGTCTCTGTGTGAGTCTGTGGGTGTCTGTGTGAGTCTATGGGTCTCTGTGTGAGTCTGTGGGTGTCTGTGTGAGTCTGTGGGTCTCTGTGTGAGTCTATGGCTCTCTGTGTGAGTCTATGCGTCTCTGTGTGAGTCTATGGGTCTCTGTGTGAGTCTATGGGTCTCTGTGTGAGTCTATGGGTCTCTGTGTGAGTCTATGGGTCTCTGTGTGAGTCTATGTGTCTCTGTGTGAGTCTATGGGGCTCTGTGTGAGTCTATGGGTCTCTGTGTGAGTCTATGTGTCTCTGTGTGAGTCTATGGGTCTCTGTGCGAGTCTATGGGTCTCTGTGTGAGTCTATGGGTCTCTGTGTGAGTCTATGTGTCTCTGTGTGAGTCTATGGGTCTCTGCGTGAGTCTGTGGGTCTCTGTGTGAGTCTGTTTGTCTCTGTGTGAGTCTATGGGTCTCTGTGCGAGTCTATGGGTCTCTGTGTGAGTCTATGGGTCTCTGTGTGAGTCTATGTGTCTCTGTGTGAGTCTATGGGTCTCTGCGTGAGTCTGTGGGTCTCTGTGTGAGTCTTATTCTTGTCGTACGGCTGCTGATGTAGACGACACGACTACGATGTCACATTGAGGCGCTCGTGCTACAGACAACCGCGTCACCCGGAGCAGCATCGGAGCGGTGCGTCATCGTCATCATCATCGTCATCATCACCGCCGCGATGTCTCCTTCTTCGTGTTCGTGGATCTGTGTGGGGGGGGGTGTGGGGTGTGGGGGGGTGTCGCGTCGTCACGTGACGTACTGCGGTGCCGTTGCGGATGACCGCGGTCGACACACCACCACCACCGGAGAGCTTTTAGATTCTCCATTCGTGCATCGTCAGGGTGTCCGCCTCCGCTGCCGCCACGGTTAGTGCGGTCGGGATGCGGTTTTAGGGTGGACCGTGAGCTTGGCGGTGGTCAGCAGATGGTCAGTTCGCGCGACGCAAATTCGCCGTTCTGCCGTACCACGCTCGCAGACGCGGTCGCGAACGCGGCAACTAAAACGGCGCGGTGATGATGCACGCCGTGCAAAAAACTTCAAAAGCTATAAACTGAACTATCTTTTTTTTATATAATCTTAGTTTTTTTTATTGTTTTATATATATTTTATTATTTTGTTGTTTCTCTTCAACGTGACTTTACCGAAAAAACTAAGAATATGAATTACTGCAGTCACGAAAGCTTTAAATCAAAATTTTATCTTTTTTTTATTTTTACCAGGTGAGTTCCGCCGAGCTCTGTAGCCATTTTCCAGGTGCGACTCTGACCACCAACGATTGGTAGCTCGGCAAAGCGGCTCGTCGTCATCGTCGTCGTCGTCATCATCGTCGCCAAATGTACAGGAGCCAAATAGTCTGAGCGCCGTGATGTTGATTCCGAATGTGGGAGGGCGAAACGGCAGGGGGCCTGGAGAGAAATCCACGCGACCACGGTGGGGGTGGGGGGGAGAGAAAGAGAGACACGCAAACTGCAAATATACAGCAGCAGGCATCGTCAGGGTCGGGATCGAACCCACGATCTCCTGCACACCAGGCGATGTAGTTAACATCTCCTAGCCACCGTGATGATGATGAGAGAGAGAGACACGCAAACTGCAAATTATAAAGCAGGCATTGTCAGGGTCGGGATCGAACCCACGACCTCCTGCACACCAGGCGATGTAGTTAACATCTCATAGCCACTGTGATGATGATGAGAGAGAGAGAGAGAGACACGCAAACTCCAAATATACAGCAGCAGGCATCGTCAGGGTCGGGATGGAACCCACGACCTCCTGTATACCAGGCGAGGTAGTTAACATCTCATAGCCACCGTGATGATGATGAGAGAGAGAGAGAGAGAAACACACAAACTCCAAATATACAGCAGCAGGCATCGTCAGGGTCGGGATCGAACCCACGACCTCCTGTGTACCAGGCGAGGTAGCTAACATCTCCTAGCCACCGTGATGATGATGAGAGAGAGAGAGACACGCAAACTCCAAATATACAGCAGCAGGCATCGTCAGGGTCGGGATCGAACCCACGACCTCCTGTATACCAGGCGAGGTAGTTAACATCTCCTAGCCACCGTGATGATGATGAGAGAGAGAGAGAAACACACAAACTCCAAATATACAGCAGCAGGCATCGTCAGGGTCGGGATCGAACCCACGACCTCCTGTGTACCAGGCGAGGTAGTTAACATCTCGGCGCCCGGGAGCTTGTGCTTGTTGCACGTGAAGTGTCGAAGGGCTCGCTGGCAGCGAGGTGACGGAGCAGACCCCGGTGCCATGGGTTGACTGACTGAGATGACGCCAGAATGAGAAGGACAAAGGTGCCCCGTACAGCCTCAGCATATCTTTGGTGGGCAAGTTCTGTTTGCGAGTATCACCCACGCAGGCCGGTGCCGCGCCCGGCCGCCTTTGTCTCCCCCGTGGCAATGTGTACACATCGCACCAGGCACTCATTTGAGGCTGAGTCGACCTAGGGGAGGCCCGGGACCGGTGTGATGATGGGTTGGCAGTATGTGGGCGCAGAGCATCCGATCATCGCCTCTCGTAGTCTACGGTTCCAAAGCCAGCTCAAGCCCCCAGTAAACCACGTGACTCCTGTGTGTGTGGATACGCACAACTCTGAACCCCCCTCCCCTCTCTCAAGCCCCCAGTAAACCACGTGACTCCTGTGTGGGGCTACCCACAACTCTGAACCCCCCTCCCCTCAAGCCCCCAGTAAACCACGTGACTCCTGTGTGTGGGGCTACCCACAACTCTGAACCCCCCTCCCCTCAAGCCCCCAGTAAACCACGTGACTCCTGTGTGTGGGGCTACCCACAACTCTGAACCCCCCCTCCCCTCAAGCCCCCAGTAAACCACGTGACTCCTGTGTGTGTGGCTACCTACAATTCTGAACCCCCCTCCTCTCTGAAGCCCCCAGTAAACCACGTGACTCCTGTGTGTGTGGCTACCCACAACTCTGAACCCCCCCTCCCCTCCCCTCAAGCCCCCAGTAAACCACGTGACTCCTGTGTGTGGGGCTACCCACAACTCTGAACTCCCTCTCCCCTCCCCTCAAGCCCCCAGTAAACCACGTGACTCCTGTGTGTGGGGCTACCCCCAACTCTGAACTCCCTCTCCCCTCCCCTCAAGCCCCCAGTAAACCACGTGACTCCTGTGTGTGGCTACCCACAACTCTAAACCCCCCTCCCCTCAAGCCCCCAGTAAACCACGTGACTCCTGTGTGTGGGGCTACCCACAACTCTGAACCCCCCTCCCCTCAAGCCCCCAGTAAACCACGTGACTCCTATGTGTGGGGCTACCCACAACTCTGAACCCCCCTCCCCTCTCTGAAGCCCCCAGTAAACCACGTGACTCCTGTGTGTGGGGCTACCCCCAACTCTGAACCCCCCTCCCCTCTCTCAAGCCCCCAGTAAACCACGTGACTCCTGTGTGGGGCCACCCCCCAACTCTGAGTCCCTCCCCTCTCCCCACCGCCACTGCCCACTCTGAAAACAGACGCCGCTCCGCCTCCGTGCAGCTCGCTCCTTCTCTCTTTCCTCTCTTACCTGCTCCCCTCATCATCATCACCACCACCACCACCCTCTCATCACCACCACCACCCTCTCATCATCATAATCAACACCCTCTCATTATCATCACCACCCTCTCACCACCACCACCACCCTCTCATCACCACCACCACCACCCTCTCATCACCACCACCACCCTCTCATCATCATAATCAACACCCTCTCATTATCATCGCCACCCTCTCACCACCACCACCCTCTCATCACCACCACCACCCTCTCATCATCATCACCACCACCACCCTCTCATCATCATAATCAACACCCTCTCATTATCATCGCCACCCTCTCATCACCACCACCCTCT